AAATCCAGCACCTTGCCACCCTCCTCTCTTCCGTTGGATGAGTAAAGGAGCCATGGGGATTGGAAGGCTGGCAAAGCTTTTTTCCTGAAGACCACTCCTATTGTCTAAAACTATCTTCTACGTGTTCATTTCTTTTCCAGCCTCTCTACAAGTGGACATTGTTCCAAGCCAGGGGGAGATCAGCGTTGGAGAGTCTAAGTTCTTCTTATGTCAAGGTGAGTGATGGCTTATGTCATCAGTTGTCTCTGTCTGGGTTTGCTGGGAAGGTCAATCAATGTATTAACTCTGGGGTAAAAGCTCCAGTACCAGGTCTAGCTGCAAGATCTCTTGCTCTTTCTTTCTCATGCGCTCTTATGGTTTATAAGACTGAGTAGCAAAGGCAGCACATGCTGTTTACTGGAAACAGTAAATGCCTTCTCCCTTGAGAGGTGGCAACAGAAAGCAGCTCCAGTGAACAGATTTTAAAATTAAAAAACAAGTACTGAAGCGTTGTCCGTAAGCTTGAGCAATAGCCACAACAATGGCACCTTGCATCACCTCTTTGATGTCTTGAATTTAGAGTGCTTAACTTCAGAGTAATTTGTTAATGCCAGTGCTTTAAAAATGAAAGTATGCTCTGAGCAAGTGCTGTTATGATGATATTTGTATTCAGAGGACTGTGGGATCAATTAAAGTCCCTCCAATAATAGGAGTTTGTCCCAAAAAACAAAGCCACACAGAGGAATGCAGCGATGTGAGCTGCAAGAAAGAAACAGCCTGGAACCACTCAATAACAATTCTGATTGACACTGGATGCAGCAGGACGTTTAAGCTGATCAATGCCAGAACTGCTGCTACAGCAATGTCACCATTTTGGTATGCAAAGTAGCCCAGCCTGCAAATACGGGTATTTATTGAAAATGTGATGGAGCTGAAGCAGAAAAAAATTTTTATTTCTTGGGCTGATCTGTGTAGTGGAGGGACTGGGACATGAGATCCCAGGATGCATAGAAGGCCTTTCTGGGCTAAAATGAGTGTACCCCTTTAGATTATAAAACCAACTTAATATCGTTTTTGCAGGATAGCAGCTGACCATTCACAGTGCTGTGAGAGAGAATTTTCTTTGCTTGCTTCTCAGGTACCAGAAGCCCTTCCCCTGGGTCAGTCTTCCGCATAGTGCTGCTGGTTGTATTTAATTCCCTCTGTGCAGATTTGTTGGGAACTCATTTCACTTCACTCTGTTTTCTTTTAGTGTCCGTAGGGGCAGGGGAGGCCAAATACAAAGACATTTCCTGGTTTTCCCCTAATGGCGAGAAGCTGACGCCGAACCAGCAACGCATCTCAGTGGTGCGAAATGATGACTTGTCCTCCACCCTCACCATCTACAACGCCAACATTGATGATGCTGGCATCTATAAATGTGTTGTCAGTAGCGTGGAGGAGGGAGACTCCGAGGCCACCGTCAATGTGAAAATTTTCCGTAAGAGAGCAGCTCCGAGGCTATTTTCTGGTCTACCTTGCACATGTATGAGGCAAGATTAGGGAGGCAACTATTTTACCTTCCTATAAAAGGCTATTTTTAAAGGGGAAGAAAGAGGGTGAAAAGAAAGGGGATGTTAAGAAGATGCAGCCGCTGCCTTTTTTTATTTTGAGGGGAAAGTGGGAACTAGGACCTTGGCCTGTCGGGGCATTACCAGCATGTCTGCTGCTTAAATTCTCCTGAAAGACAGGAGAGCAAGGGGTAGAAGGAGAAGATTCTAGTGCATCATAAATGTCTGGGAGGAGTAAGCAAAGAGAGCAGTTTTTGTGGATGACAGACATGCTATGAGATAAGACTAGTGAGGATCACGCATTTAGAAAGGTTGTAATAAGCCATCAGCATGTTGTCCAGCAGAGCCATGATAGCAGGTCCTTCCCTTCCTGCTGGGAAGCTCAGCAGTTCCAAGTTCACATTTTCTCTTTGCAGTGTGGACAAATCGGTAAGCTAGGTGGAGTATTGATTTGGCCCACTGATATGCCTGGGAGTCAGGGCTGGGAAATGGCATTCCCTTATTGCAGTGCGGTGCATTGAGTCAGGCACATCTTTATCCTCCCCTTGGGCACACGAGGATTTCTAGAGAACGTGTTCTCTGGGGTTTCTTTGCCTTCCTCAGGCTTGAGTCAGGAGCAGAGCTTTAGGTGTGCTGAGAAAGCTGCAGTGACTTTCTCCTTCCATTGTTTTCAGAAAAGCTGATGTTCAAGAATGCTCCCACTCCTCAGGAATTCAAGGAAGGGGATGATGCTGTGATTGTGTGTGATGTGGTCAGCTCACTGCCTCCTACCATCATCTGGAAGCACAAAGGCAGGGACGTTATCCTAAAAAAAGATGGTAAGGCAGAAGAGGCGTCTTGGTGCTTGTCCATTCAGGGGTCAAATGTCCATCTCCCATCAGGGCTCAAATCAGGCTCGTACAAGGGGTTCAGGAAAACAAAATGGTGGTGATTACAAGGGAGGAGAGAAGCAATTTGTACCTAACACTAGGTCTTAGGATGTGAATTTAGTTATTCAAGATGCTGTGGTTTGGCAATGGCAGGACAATAACGTTCCCACAGAAATGGCCATCAGGCTTTGACACTGGAATACAGGCCAAGGAATGCTGGAAAAAGATTTCAGATAAAAGCAATGCCATCGAACAGAAAATCTGCATGTTTTGACGCTCTCCAGTGCTCCTAAGGAAAAAGGGCTAAAAGCTCCTTGCAAGAACATTTCCCTTTCTTTCAAAATGCTGCAGACTGTCATGCCCAGAGGGGCATTTTACTGGCAGAGGGGGCTCTAGAGCCCTGGCTCCAGCTGAGCGTTCATGCCTCAGCTGTGTTTCCCACATCTGCTTGTTGCAGGAACAAGGGAACTGTAGTAAGACTTGAACTCTGCCACCCTTGTGCAAGAGAGGCAAGTTTCAAATTGCTTATTGTCCGATACTAATTAAATGTAAGAGTGTGTGCGTGTGTGTATTTACCTGTTTATCTCTGTGTGTACTTACAGTATAAAGCACCAGAGCAGTTTGCCTGCTACCCACATCTGGTTTCTTTCCTGGCAATGTGAGGTCCATTTACAGCAGCATCTCAATTAAATGATGGGAAGGGAAATTTTACTAGACTAAGCCTTGTCTCAACCCAGAAAGGACAAGGAGAGAAGAACCTGTTACCTGCAGTGAGTTTTCCTGAGGATTCTTGGATGAACCTTCCTTTTGTCTTTTCTAGTTCGATTTATAGTCCTGTCCAACAACTACCTGCAGATCCGGGGAATCAAGAAAACAGATGAAGGGACATACCGCTGTGAGGGCCGGATTTTGGCTCGTGGGGAGATCAACTTCAAAGATATTCAGGTCATCGTAAATGGTGAGCAGCTTAGAGTAAGGCAGGGTATGTAGCACCTGCACCACAGGCTGCTGATGGAAATGTTACTTTAGATTCACACTCATGATTTACCATAAGTTTACTAATTTTTCTCTGCTGTGTCAAATAAAAATTGTCCATGAAATTGGCTGAGTGTTTACAAGATGTTTACAGGAAATTATCATGTAAAGAAAAACCTCAAGTGTCTCATGACTTAGAGTGAGGTATTGATCTTGTTGGGACTCAACAAGTGGGTTTGTCCTCGATACTGATTTTCTGTGTGTCTCCCCACCCCCTGCCCTTCCGTCCCTGTGCTAATTGCTTTGGAGAGCTCATGCATCAAACCTGTTGACTGAAACGGGCAGGTGGTGGCCTAAGGGTTTGAATTACTAGTGACATCTTCGTGTATTGCAGAGATTTACAGTGAGCCTTCCAGGGCTCACTCTTGCTCGCGTCTTCTGTCCTTTCTAACTTGAATGTGGATTCCTTCTTTTCTAGTACCTCCTTCTGTGCGCGCCAGGCAGAGCACTATGAACGCCACTGCCAACCTCAGCCAGTCTGTCACCTTAGCATGTGATGCTGATGGCTTTCCTGAGCCAACCATGACATGGACAAAGTAAGATGCTGTGTGCAATGTTGTGATTGTGTGTGAGCATGGATGTTTTCACCAAGGCCTGGAAAACCAGGCTGGAGGGGAAGCAATGTTTTAACTGGAATAAGATTAATTAATTTTTCTCACAGGAGAAAGAATGGCCTCATAACAGAATTGCAGTTAGCTTCTGTTGTGGGTTAACCCTGGTAGGCAGCAAAGCTCCACACAGCCACTCACTACACACACCCCCCGAGTGGGGTGGGGAAGAGAATCGGAAGGGTAAAATCCGCAAACTTGTTGATTAAGATAAAGACAATTTAATAGATGAAGCAAAAGCTGCGCATGCAAGCAAAGCAAAATAAGGAATTCATTCACTACTTCCCATTGGCAGGCAGGTGTTTATGTTTATTGGCAGGTCGGCTGTCCCAGCACTTCTTGTACACCCCCAGCCTACTTGCTGGCGCGGCAGCACAAGAAACAGAAAACCCTTTGACATTGTGTGTATGCCATTCAGCAATAGCTAAAACATTATTGCATTATCAATGCTGTTTTGGTCACAAACTCAAAACATAGCACTGTATGAGCTGCTGTGAAGAAAATTAACTCTATCCCAGCCAAAACCAGTACAGGTTCCTGGAGAAACAAAATAGCAAATTTTCACTGTCCCATTACATTCTTTGTCAAGTTGCAAATAGAGATGAAGCTTCATGCTGACCAGACCTGTCCCGTGGGTCAGTTTATTATCATCTGTTGCACTGGTGGGGAAACTTAGGCAAAAGCAGATGCTATAACTTGCATTTGTCATGCCAGGAGATCCACATGTAAAGTTTTCATTTCATCAGGTCTAAATTTCACTGTCAGGCAGTGATACAGACTTCAGGTATACTGTTCTTGAAATTATGTAGCCTTTGGTGAAGGTTATGAGGACAAGTTGTAATGTTGAAAAAGCTGATGACAACTTGGAATACTGCCTCGATATGCAAGGACAGAAGCCACCTTCAGTGTTGTTTATAGCTCTTGCATATAGGCTATGATGTGTCAGGGGGCGAAAGGTTCAGCTGCCGAGAGTCCTAAGGTAGGAGGGATTAGGAATAGATCAAAATGTAAGCTTTGTAGCCCATAGGGAAACGAAAAGGCCCCTCTCAACCTGAGGAGTTTCAGTGTAGTAACAGAGTTCTAGCATTAACAACAAGCCTAAAACAAAGAGCCTTTGATTGCTTCTCTTCCCCAACACAGCTAGTGTGCTTTGTGCCCTGCAGGGATGGAGAGCCAATAGAACAGGCTGATGATGAAGAGAAATACAGTTTTAACTACGATGGGTCCGAGCTCATCATCAAGAAGGTGGATAAGAACGACGAAGCAGAATACATCTGCATCGCTGAGAACAAGGCTGGCGAGCAGGATGCCACCATTCATCTCAAAGTCTTTGGTAAACATGCTCTTACCATCCCCCCTTTCCAATCCAGCTGGCTATTGGTAGCTCACTAGTGCAAGCTGGAAGTAACCTACTTATCCTAGTTAACGCCTGATGTGGCTTATCCAGAGCTGCTTCTTTCACAAGCAATGCTGTGCACCTCTGCCGTCATGCTAAGCAAAACAGACTTTGTGTAATTGTCCAAAATGGATGCCAACTCCATTCTGCTTCCTCTCTGATAAAAGCAATTCAGTCTTGTGCAGGGGGGCGGGGGTGAGATTCACGTGCTACTTGAAAGATCTTCCAGGCCCAGAGGACTGAATCCTAATCCAACCAAAACTGCTATTATAAGGGCTTTAGCACTTCAGTGGGACTTGCTATAAGCTGGACAGGGAGGTGAATTCCACCCCACCACTGTGTGAATGACCTCAAGCTTGCAGGAATGAATCAGCAGCTTTTCTACCGTCCATGAATCTGGGAGCGTTAAGGAATATAATTCTCCCTGTCCCATCCCTCTGCAGCCACTTGACAAAGCTGCTTATCAAAAGGCTAATTTGGGGCAGAGAAAGCAGACAGTGGAAAGTAGAGGTGGAAGACTTGGCTGGTAATCCCAGGGACTGATCATTTGTACACTGTTAAATGGGTTCTGCTTCAGATATGCCCTCTTCTAGTCCTCTCTTAAAAGCCTCAGCTGTAGGAATGTGTAGAAAAGCTCTTCTAGTTCTGCAAGGAGGTACCCTCTTCTCACATGTCACTCTGCTCCCTTCCCAATACGGCAGTAAACTTGTGCCAAATCAAAAGGCTTTTTTCCCCAATGCTGGTTGTTTCAAACATTGCTGTTGACAGGCAAGCTTCATTCTGAGCACCAACTGAATGAAGGTTGCTTTTTCTTCTCAGCGAAACCCAAAATCACCTATGTGGAGAACAAAACAGCCATGGAGCTGGAGGATCAGATTACGCTGACCTGTGAGGCATCTGGGGACCCAATCCCTTCCATCACTTGGAGAACTTCCACACGGAACATCAGCAATGAAGAGAAGGTATAACCCTTCCCAAAACCATGGTCTCATTTGCTGGGATCAGTGCAGCTTGTATCTGCCTGCCTCTGCTGATCCAGAATGCATGATAGCTGCACGCAGATGCACATGGAAATCATGGCGATTCCCCTCTCTGTAGTGAGAACACGTGCAGTCCTGCACAGGCTATCTGCTAAAGGGTCAGCTCCGCAGCTGAAGTAATGCCATAGGTGTCCTTTTGTACAAAGAGCCATCTCGGTTTGTAACAACTGAAGGTATGCTTTTTAATTCCTGCTGGTATCACTCTGAGTTGAATTAACGTGAAAAGCAGTAGGCCCTGGAACCTTTTCAGAGGAGTTTCCAAAGGGACCTACAGTTGCAGAAAGCTTGTGAAAGGGTTTTTCCCCTCTGTTTCTAAGCTGAGAGGTGGGAATGAGCACTCTGATTCCAGTGTTGTGCATGCTGTCATTATGATGATGATATGATCTGGGAGGGTGGCAGGCGGAGAGGTGTGGGGTATTCTCTCAAAGATGCAGTGGACCAAAATGAGCCTGTTAATTCCTTCTTGCTTTTCTGTATTGTATTCTAATACTGCCTGTACCTGAAGCACAAACGCCTGGCTGCCTTTGTGTTCACCTGTTTGTTGATCACTTCAATACCATTTTGTTCTTTAAAAGACAAAAATAATTAGCAGTTTTTCTTTTAAAAAAGAGTGCTGGGTTTTTTTACTGGCCACAATCCCCCTTAACTAGACAAGATCAGGATGTGCTGTATTACTGTAGATATTTCGTAATAGTTGCATAAGGCGATCAGGGGGCATAGTTTAGAGCCAAAGAAAGCCTAGACAAAAGTTGGAGTAAGGAGTTGTTGCTTATTAATAATCTTCTAATAACAGGATGCTTCAAGGCTAAGCTAAATTGGGCATACCAGGGGTTCTGACTCAATATGAAGACAGCAGCTGATAGACTGTGAAAGTCTTAAAGCGACAGAGGTATCTGCTGTCAGTCATCCACACAGCTGCCATTCTGCACTGTAGCTTCCTAAATGAGCTTTTTTAAATCGCCTTCGTGATGTCAGCTCTTCACCATGTTGGTAATGTGTAACATATTAATCAGGATGCCAGAGTTTTCCAGCCTTTATTCTTTCTTCATCTTTCAGATTCGAGGGCCAGTGTAAATCCCTGCAATGTTTAGAGAGAGATTTCCATTGTCTTCAAAAACTGTTGGCTTGGGGTCTCACCACAGCATTACTGGGGGACCTGCTTTGACAGCATAAGGTTGTTCATGGTCTTGTCTCTGTCTAGGAGAGTGGTGGGAGGAGTTAAGTGCTCTAGTGCTTCTAGCACTGGAGTTTGGATCACAGCCAAGGAAAAGAGCTTGGGCAGGGAGAAGAATATAAAAACTGAAATAACACTAAATCAAGTAGAAGTCAGTAGGAGAGCCTGTTTGCAGAGAGTCCCGTCTGTCCGGCCCAATTAAACTAACAAGATCTCAGTGGCAAAACTGCTAACCATTTTTGAGACTCTCATATATCCTGTTTGATGCTGTTAAGTTGGTGATCAATGTTAATACTCTGATAATTTCTTACATACATGGGGGGAAAATCAAAAGTCTGAGGTACTACCATGTGTTTAATATACTGGTTCAAACCTTCAGGGCAAAGATTTTTTTTTTTAATCATATACCATGCACTTTCTAGGCAGGATATTTTTTGTGTGTGTGTTTAGTTTTGTGTTTTACTTTTTCCTGTTCTCTATCTTGTGCTGTAAGTTTAGGTGAATGGTACAGATGTCCACAAAATCCTCAGGTCAAAATTGCTCTTACAAACATTCTATTACCTGTACAACCAAATGCATATATTCAGTTTACTATCCACTTACTGTCTCTGGGATAGCACAGGGAAATGGATGGTGTTTGATGTGGGACAAACAATAGTATTTTTAAAATTGTCAAGCCCTACTTCTGAATATGTTCTAGATACTTGGATGCATCTGTCTTGCTACATGTTGTTTACTTTTGTAATCATACTTCAGTACAGGTTTTTAAAGGTCTAGAGGTGCCTTAACTCCCATGAACATTTGGTGCTTCAGAAAAACCTACCCAAACCCCCAAACAAACAAGAAAAACCCTCTCTGGTGTAGAGGTTCCTCCCCTCACCTCAGTCTTTGTCTAAGAACAGAGACAGCCTGATGTGTAGACAAGGGGCAGGAGGTGCTATGGTCCAAACACCTAAGTTGACAGTGTCAGAACTGTTTCAACGTTCCCATGCTTCCCTGAGAGACCTGTTGATATCCTGGCATGCACAGCAAAAGGTTCTCCTCTCTGTGGCTATGCCTACCTAATGTGGCACACCTTGGACAAACAATCTTTTGCTTTGAGGATGGTCTGCAAAGGTAAGTGGTTGTGACCGTGCTCTCGCAAAATCAGATGATTGGCAACTGTATACCAACACAGATGAGCAGACTAAACTTCCCAATACTGGCATGGCACTAGTAAGCTTCCTCTTACTACTAAACTGGCAGCTTGCATTCTTCTGCCCTGCAGAGAGTACAAGTAATATTTAAAAAAAAAAAAAACCAAACCCAAACAAACAAAAACCCAAACCAAAAAACCAAACATTTGCTTATATGTTGTTTACTTCGGTTGTGAATGTAGGAACATACTACTTTAGGAGAAACTTTTGCCCTGTCAGTTTGAGATTCCTGTCTATCACTACTGCAGAACATAGCAAGAACGCCTGGAAAGTCATCAGTGTGATGATTTGAAATCTTTATCTTTCCTCAAGTATTTATTGCTGTGCCATTGCAGGGAGGAAGAATGCTTTCTCTTTGAATGATACCAGATGTAAAGCTGATCAAGCCAGTATGCCATATTCCCCATCACCTTCAGTATATGCCCTTTTAAGAGACATGTTTCTTATATTGCTGTAGCAGAATACTAACTGTGATTCAGTAAATACAGTTTTGATCTGTTGTGTATTGGTGTATACAAGTTTTACAATTGCAGATTGTAAAGTGCAGATGCAAGTGTTTCCTGTCAGATTTTTGGATGAGGCAATCACTAACTACTCCTACACACGCACTTCCATGGAACGATTGTGGAGACAGTCCTAAGTTTCTTACCCAGCAGTATAGCTCAGTGTGAGGAATGGGAGGGGTAACAGGTGATGCCTTCATGCAGGCCTTTTTAACATCTTGCCGGAGCTGGCAAGTGTCTGTGGCGTAGGATCTAACTCAGTACTGCTGTCTGATCTCCCATGCTAGCTGGCAAGTCAAAAAAAAAAAAGTGAACATTTTCTCACTGGAATGAAAGAAACAAACAAAGAACAGAGGAAGAGGTCAGCCCTGGTATTCTTCTTCCTTTATCCTAGTTATAGTTTAACCTGTATAGTGTTATTGAGTCTTTTTCACCGAGGCTGTCCCACAAGGTTCCCTGTTCCTAAAGTAGGAAAATGCAGAAGTCTGACTTGTGAATGGGTCACAGTTTGAGAGGCCCCTTTAGTAGGTGACTGCTTGTCTGAATAACAGATGTCTTCGTCACCCCTCTGACAGGTGAACTACACTGCTATGTTGTGCTACCCTGAGAACAGTCCAATGCATCCTTCCACTTATTTTCTGGGTTACTGTTACTGACCAGTAGCCTCTATCAACTCTATGTTCTTGGCAGCTAACGCAAATAGCTAAGTTGTTAAAAACTTAGAAATCTTTAGATGAAAACAACTTGATTGAATTCCAGCAAGGTAAGGAGTGCCCCTTTGCTAGGACATAAGCATTGGGTTGCCAGTGTTGCAGCAGCATGCTAGGGCACAATAACCGGAAGATAAGAGGAACTCATTCCCTTGCACAGCTCACTCTAGGTCAAATTTAGCAGTGAAGTAATTAAAAAATTAAAAATTGAGTGAAAGAGAAGAGCCAAATACTCTGCTGATATGCAAATAAGCATTGTTGCAATACCATCAGCAAAGTGCTTCTGGATGTGATGCAGCAGATCTAACATTTCAAAATTTAACTTAATTTCCTGATTTTTTTTTTTTTTCTTTTAAGTGGGCAGTATACCTTGAATACAATTCTCTGTCTTAAATTTGTGTCGTACTTCGCATCTCATGAGATGTACATGGGAATATCTTTGGATTTAATGATCCAGGGAGTAAATTACATTGGCAGTTCCCAGGAACTCCCTTGTAACTGAAGATGCTCCCATTTAACAACTTGCTTCCAAAGGGAAGGGAAGATGCTAGCATGCATGAGGCTCTTGGTTTCCCCTCTGTCCCTTGCATGATGCTGACTAGAGCTTGTGTATCTCTTTGTCTTGTTGAGGGAGAGTCAGTATGAAACTCTCCAGGATGGAGAATGTGGTTCTGCCTCTTTTCCCCACACCCATGAGTGCCATTACAAAGAAACATCACACTCTAGGAGTGTTGGAACAGGCTTTTTTCCTATTTCATCTTCCTTTAGGTTGACAGGTACTGAACACCAAAGACTAAAAATATGTTTTGTTTTGGTTGGTTGGTTGGTGGGGGTTTTGTTGGTTTTTGGTTTTGTGGGGTTTTTTTAATTCCTCTGTGCTGACACCATAGAGCCTCAGTGAATAGGACTGAAAGGGGACTCGCATGGGTGTAAGCAAAGCAGTTCCCCAGCTAGCCTGGCTTGCTCAGGTACAGAGAATGACCGGTACATCAGAAAGGGATTATGCTGAATTATTATGGTTGCTTGTTCAGCTTTCAAGGAACTTGTGCACAACAGGATATATATACATAGAAATGATCAGATGATAGGAGTGTCCTAGCCCATGCAGGTGTTGGTGAGTTTCTCTTCAGGTGGCTTCACCTCAGGCCTCTAATTACAAGCAAATAACTTGCTTTTATCAAAGACATTCTAAAACATGGCTGTCTGTACCATATTTTAATACTTAAGTCTCACAACGTTCACTAGAAGCATTGAGAAAACAATACTATGTTCTTTATTCTCATTTCCTAAGCTTTCATCTCCATTTCTGTCATGTCACTCTTGTGTATGCTGTTATATC